TGACGATATTTAAGTAATCGAACGAATTCACTCTGTACTTCAGATTTTAATTAACTATAATTATAATAGATAATAAATTCCGAATAGACGTGGGAATTATTTTAGATAAACTGTTAGGTAATATAAAATTGATTGACGGTGAGTACCTCTTACTGACGGGAGACATATGGGTCTAATGGTGTCGCTGAGTGGTACTCGTTCGTTGAGACGCAACAGCGCGATGTCATTGTCGAAATTGAGGAAGCTGAAATCGCCGGTTAACACTCTGACCACGTATCTGGTCTCGAATCCTCTCTCGACGCACCTGTCGTGTTCGCCGAACGTGACCTTGATCATGAACCACATGAACCTGAAAATGGGGCTAGGAAAGTTGATCATGCTTCTCTGGAATATCGAATACCGCAGACTCGAGATTCCGAAACGCGCGTTTTGCTTGGCCGATTATCAACTATGCCGATTCTATCCTGTGCCGCTTGAATAAATTTGCATCGTTCTATTTTCGCGTCAGTTTTTCGTGCTCCCAACCACCGAGTAAGATATTATATAATATATAATAAGAACCTTTCCCCTTTTTTTTACTTTTAATAATAAATTATATTCACTAGGAATTTTAATTAATAATTTAATAATTGGTGGATGAAGCCGTGAGATATCTTACCCTTTGACACAATGAGCTGCTGTCAAAACGTAGCGATCGTTGATTAATGTCCCGCCGCAGTAAAACTTGTTTAAATACGAAAGTCGGGCCATCCACGGGAATTCATTCATGCGAGTCGTTTGACCGCCGACTATGCGACTCTCTTCGTTTCGCACGCCGCAGCCTAATTATTCGGACACAAATACGTTAACAGTAATGATATATAATATGAGTCAATATTAGTAATTAATGTTAACCAATGGGAAGTGACAGTACATTAAAAAAGAATCGTAAAATATTAGATGCGACTAGAATTTATGTTTAGTAATGTTTAATTAAATAAATTCTTACTCACTGCAAAAACATGGCCCAGGCGCGTCCGCGCTATCCGGAGGTTTATTGCCAAAAATACCGAAGAAGTTTTTTACTTTCTCGCCAAGAGTAGATCCCTGAAATACGATAACTAAATCGTAATCTTTATAACAATTGCTTTGTGTTAAAGATTTTCTGTTTCTATTCTGAACAAAATTAATGACACTTTAGCGTTCATCGCAATTTCTGTTAATTTTATTTTGTTAGCTTATTTATTGTGTAACTTCGTAATGATAGAATCATCTTACTTGGCAAGTGTACGTTGCCAGGAAGAGGGCGAATAATCCAAGCCACCAGGAGAACTTCATTTTGATTGAATCCCGGCCGCGGCTATTATCCCTGCGATGTACCACGGCGTCACGTCTCTCTGCGCGTAGAAATGATTTCTATCGGAGGAAGGATGATACCGCCGCGCGGACACTGTCAGGAACGAGTTACGGACATGTCCCTGGGTTCTGGGAGTTGCTATCGCCAGTGTCCCACGGCGACTGAGAGGACGGCTCGGGTCGAAGAGGTAATTACTATTCCAGAAGAGAAGGAGGGCACCGACGAGACTGGTCGGCAACTGGACAGTACCTGACCAGCTCTCAAGTTCACATTCAGGGTCGAGTTACGGGTATCTGTTATTGACCGTCATCAGGGTCATCATTTATGAACGATTTTTCGACAGCTCGATCCTTCTCGTATTTCTAAAATAGAGAACAATAATTTTTTGAAAAAGTAATGGTGTAAAAAAACGATCAATAGTTCGACTTTAATGTGATCTCATATTTCCGTGAAGTATTTAGTGTAAAAGTGTTATGGTGGTATAGAAGAAACAGTGGAAAAGGAAAGAGACTATGTTGAAAATTCATTTCTATTGTGGAATAATTTTTTTGATTGAATTTTAATATTCGTGATTCTAGTTCTCTTAAAATCCAATCTAGTGTTCGTCACAAAAAATTTATTTCTCTAACAACGATAATTCCCGTTAATTTTTAGCACATTAGAAATTAGATGATATAAGAACATAGGAAAAGAAAGAGAAATCAGATTGTGCAGCAGAGGATTAAGAAACATTTTTGTTTGAGGCATTCACTTATTGTGGGTGCCAAAAAATCATCGCTTCGAATATATTATGCAAATTCCAAGGGAGAGGACTTTTACGACAGCCCGTTTCTATCTTATTATATGCAAAACTCGCGTTATGCATAAACCGGGCGCGTCGTTGACCCGTGAACGTTTTCCATTATGTTGATAATCGTATTAAAGTTAGCAAATTGCTATGTGAACTTCGAGATTCTCTCACTTCAATATCTTGGATATCTAATTTCTCTGTACATGCATTTCTGCTAATAATATGAATCTCGAGATAAACAGGTTTCGGCATAGGTCTGGTTCATCAATTTCCAACTAAATTACGATTCGTCGGTGTTTTGTCCGTGATTGTCACGTGAGGCGTGGATTTTACGATACCGCAGCAAGTATTCACTTTTATTGGTATGTTTTGAACGGGGTAATAAAAATAGCTCGTGTGTACTGTCATCCCTATAAACGAGCGTATCAAATTCTTTCAATACCTTCAGAAAAGTCGTAGTCGATTTAGCTGGAAATATTTCTCCATGAATAGAATAGATGGTTCCAAATTCTTCGGATTCCACAGTTTTGGTATAATTAAAAGATTTCCATGGAATATTGGGCTGTGATTTGAAATTTTTTTACTAGGATTCATAATAGTGCAATCAAAGTCGTAAATATTTATTAAGAGATTCATACAATATCCTGAAAATAATTTTAATTCCGATATGAAACAATTGTGTTATAAATATTTTCTGATAAACGCATTATTGAAATTAACATAGTTCGAAGCATATTGTATATACGTATAATGGATTGATACGCATGCTAGTCTACTTTTAGAAGTACCTATGCTCGTTTTAATCATTCGACAGAAAACCGTTACTGATAACTATTCCAATAACGTTCGGCCGCATTCACGCAACGAAGGTGTGACGCGAGTCGAATTATACAATAATCTTTTATACACGTAGTATTGAAAGAAAAGTTCCTGAGCGCAATATGAACAGATAATAAAGCAACATACTTTACTTATTTCTTACTAAATACTAAGTATATTTATTCCTAAATTGTATACGTTTATTAATGCCAAGTAATAATTTATGACATTTTCTGATCATCGTAAATCAGAATCCCGATTCATGAATACCATGTTTTTAAGTAAATTGTTATTTTATAATTTTATTTAATTCTACACAATTATATAATTACATAGAAAATATTTAACAATTATAAATTAATAAATAATCTAAGCTAACAAAGTTCTTTACTAAATCAGTGCTTAATAATGACTATTTTACAAATTTCTTTATACAGGTCTTAAAGTAAATAAAAGTTTCATCTTAAGTTGTGCATATACAGCCTTCTTTCATATTGGTGTTGATCCAGTTCAGGTACCTTGTCACTCTAGTGTACACTCCAGGGTAGCCTTGTCTTCCACATCCAACACCCCACGAAACTATTCCTGCGATTATAAAAAGCAACCATTAAAAATATGACAAATTATCTCCCTATTGACAATAAATAAATTGCTAGATGAACAGTGAATGCTTACCAACTATTTCGAGTTTGTCACCTTCTTGCACGAGGAGCGGTCCACCGCTGTCACCCTGGCAAGAATCCTGACTGCCTCTGCCAGCACAGATCATGTTCTCCGTGATTCGATTAGCTCGGTATTTCATCTTACGACACTGCAGTAGACTTAATATCGGTACTTGTACTTCGTGGATTTTCCCAGCCAACATACCGCCTTCCGACGTTCTTCCCCAGCCCACCACGGTCCCCTCTTTCCCGGCTGGATCAGTGCCTAAAAATATTTTTTTACAATCCTTATTATCAAAAAAAAAACGTTTGTCGTGTATAAGAACTTAAAGTGCATTGATCCAATAAAGTACGATCAATTTTTATATTTAATTTTTATAATAGAATTAAATTAGAATAACTTATTTTATAGAATGTACATTAATAATTATTCTATCTCAGAATATCCTGCAATATTCGTAATTAAGTGTATCTCTGGTAACTACCGGTTCGGGGTAAGCATACGGGCTTAACCGTTTTCGAAAATTTCACGGACTTGCGAAGTCTCAACAGTGCAACGTCATGATTGTATGAGTTCATATCAAAGTTTCTGTGACGAATCACTGCGCTCACTGCTCTCATTACGGCCTTTCCATCGGTATTCACGTGTTGGTCGTAATCACCAAGCACTACACGGATTTTTGAACGCTTCAATCTGGAAAAGCAACATTAATACTTCAACTATATTTCAGTGTTAAGAACGATTTAAAGAAC